TGACCTCCTGATTCATAGACTTTCAACCACTGAGCCACACTGACCCGGCCCATCTTAACAATTTTTTAGTGTACACGTCTGTGACATTAAGTACATTCACAGTGTTGTGCAATGATCACCACCATCCATCCCCAGAACATTTTCATCTTACAAAACTGAAACTCTACCCATGCCTGCTCTCCAGCCCGTGGCAACCACCACTCTCCTTTCTAGTCCTGTGAATTCGACCACTCTGACACCTTATACAAATGGGATCTTACAGTATTTGCCTTTTTGTCGTTGACTTTCTTCACATAGCATAGTGTCCTCCAAGTTCATATTGTAACAAGTGGGAGCACTGAATAATATTCCAGTGTATATACCATATTTTGTTTATTCTGTCCTCCCTTGTTACCTTTGCTTCTACCTTTTTGCTATTGTGAAGAATGTTGCTATGAATATACTTTTTTTTTTTAATTTGAGAGAGAGGGAAAGGAGAAGGAGAGAGAGAGAGAGAGAGAAACAGATGTGAGAGGAGAACATGGATTGCATGCCCACTACCGGGGATCAAGCTTGCAACCCAGGTATGTCCCCTGACCAGAAATCAAACCAACCACCTTCTGGTGCATGGGAGGACACCCAAGTCACAGAGCTACACCAGCCTGGGCTCCATTGTTATTCTGATGGTTATTTCCCCCCAAAAAACAACAAAACACTATATTGACACATTTGTCTTCTTTACATGCTGGGTTCAAGGAATTTTGTGCCCACAAAAATCTATAGGTAGTTAGTGGGGCTAATATTATACAGAGGAAGACTTGGAGCCTGGACTCAAGTCCCCAACCATTACAAGGGCATCATTCGTTAATATTTGAGCTCAGAGAGTCTGAAGTCCGTCTCACTGAACCCCTGTATCACAGTGTATTAGGCCTCAGTTCCTCCTCATAAGAACCTGTCTACATGATTATATGGATTTGCTTGTATAAGCATAGACTCTGGAAAGATACACAGAGTCTGGTGATGTTAGGTGTTTTGGGTGAAGGAATTGGATGGATGTTAAGACAGAAGTGGAAGGGTGACTTCTGTACTTTTTATGTTTTTGCTAGAGGCCCAATGCATGAAAATTGTGGTAAAATGCACATACCCTAAAATTTACCATCTTAACCTTTTAAAAATATATTTTTATTGATTTTAGAGAGGAGTGGAGAGGAAGAGAGAGAGAGAGAGAG